GCGCGATGAATATGCAAAGTCCCTCTCGGCAGCATTATGCTAATTCGCCGAGGAATAGCGCCTGAACGAAGAATCAATAGCTGATAGAGAATTACTAGGGCATTACCGCACGCACGGTAAGACGTATTTCTTGTTAGCGATCTATTTACAGCGCGATGATGGTCTCGAGGAAACTCTCTCTCTCTCTCTCTGTTGTAAGCAGTAGAATTTCGCGCAGAATTCACAGGCGAACGGCGAGTTGCGAATAGATCGACCGCATATATTCGCAAGTTCTGCTTTGTGAAATTGTGATATTATCAATAATGTAATAACGGTTATTCAAATAGCGCTACATCGAAATTCGCAAGTGACGTTATCGAACCGACCTAATTTTCTTAAACAATTGATTTCACGAAAATATACGCTCGGCACGCGAGTAAAGACGAGAACCGAGCGCTTTTACGAGCGAACGGAATCGGGCCGACGACCGAAACAATGGACGGAGCGATCCGACTTTCCGCTCGAGCCGCGCGAGTTCATCGGACAGAATATCTCTCGCTAGCGAGAAAGCTGACCGGCGGACCGTGAGAAAGGAAGCAAAGTCGCCTGGCGCCGAATGGGAAAAACTCGTTAAGGTCGACGAGAGCTGTGAGCCGTTCCGAGAGAATGAGAGAAGGAAAGAGAGAGAAGGAAAGAGAGAGAAGGAAAGAGAGCGAAGGAGCCCGCGATCGAGAGCCGCATCGACTGTGGGACGATTAAACGAAACTATCCCGTGCCGCCTCACGTAACACGCGCCAGTCGGGGCCACACTCGAAGAAGAAGGGAACGAGGCAAGAAAATGACCACCTCGTGGACAGGACGATCGCATTCTTGAAGAGCGTAAAAAACGAAAGGAAGAAGCGAAGTGAGGAAAAAAGCACACCGACGAAATAAGCCAGAGCAAACAACCTAATTGCGCAAGCATCGCGCAAGTCGAGCGGTAAACGAAGGCACGATTTTACGAGCTGTTTTGCCTGCGCGGTCGAATGTGCAAATTGCTCGTAATTAACGCGGCGGTGCGTACAGCACGCGCGGACTCGCCTTTGCTCCTATGTAAATAAATAATAATGGTCTTAAATGTTAAACTAGAAATTGCCTTCGAAAGAAGAGTAATACTTGCAAGTCAATCCGGCTTAAAGTTTCCTTTTCCTTTTGGATAGCGCGCGCGAACATGAGTGCACTTCGATCCGATCAGCGATTTATCGAGCAGCTGCGAAGTTTTCCGCGCGGAAATTCGTAATAAGAATTGGAAAGCAAATCTTGCCGAAATCTTATATTCGATCCTACAAATGTAAAAGAGTAGAATGTTTTTTTAATTGAAATACTAAAAGCAAAAAGTAGACGAGTCGTACAAAAATTATATTTGCTCAAGGAAGATTTATTGAATAATTATCGAGAGTTGGAATATTTTTCAAAGTATTATGCTTACGCAATTTTTGTTCTCCGAATTATAAGTTTCGAAAGATTTGTGGAAGGAAAAGGTAAAGCCCGACCTTTTGACGTGCTCTTTTTTATGAAGGTTTGAAATATATGTGTTGGAAAAAAATGAGATGTCTCCTTTGTCTCCCCTCCACAAAATTACTTTTTGAAGAGACTCTATTTTTATATATTTAGAGTTGGGTTTCCCTTAGGATGTGGAACATTCGTCACAAGCGTATTCATAGCATATTCTAATATACCCGTCCGCCTTTCCATAATGGAGCTCTTAAGAGTCGGAATAATATAACGGGTCGCGTCTTCGACAGAAGACTGTGAGAAGTCGACAGCAGGATACCGCAGAAAGTCAAAAGACGACTTGCGCGACGAGTGCGCGCGAACGCGCAGAAATGATGAACGAGCGGCGGCAATGTGAAGGATGTGGAAAGTTCCCCACAGAGGGTCGCCGAGAACTTCGCGAGGAGTATTGACGTCGGGGGTAAACTTCAAACTTATAATAATTCCTAGCGTAGTCGGCAAATACTACATCGCGACCCAAAAATAAAAAAAATATATAAAAAACATTATTGTTGAATTTTGTTACAAAACGCAGATCAAGTCTTATCCGAAGAAAGTGTAATATTAAAATTAAATCATCCCCATTTGCCTCACGATAGTTATGATAATAATAAAGCTCAAGTCGCGATTTAATACCGCCGTGAGAACAATATAAAATTCACAAAGATCGTGTCTCCGAATCTCTCGCGTAAAGCTCCCAAATGAATCCTCGTCAAAAGCGTCGTCTTTAATGCGCCTCTTGATATTCTTCCAAATAAAAGCGGCTTAATTCCACCGTTGTGGAAGACCCCGACGTAGGCGGGGCTTCCCGCCTACGGAAGTTTCTCACGGCGGAGCGCGGTTTTCTGAGAACGAACAAATTCCTCGCGGGTTTACGCCGCGTAAAGAAATGGACTTGCATTAAAATGTCATTACACGGCCTGAGGGCGTAATAACGCAAGCTGCGCGCGACACGTGCTTTTATTGCGCTTCCACGTGTGACACGTTTGAACAAGTGCTGCCTGTCTCTGACGCGAGGCTGTCCGCAGAGACATTTACGTGCAGCTGGTAGCCACCGTTTGCAACGCTGCGGCTCCGTGTGTCGTACAAGACCACAACGTGCAGTTGCGGAGTGTACAAACGAAGCACACACACACTCATACTCGTACACACACACACGTATTGTCACGTGTGGCAGTTCGCAGTCTCACGCTGCCGGAACGACGCGCAACCGGATGCATCGTCGCGCTTTCAGCGACAGAAAATTCACGTCTCTATTCATTAACCCTCAGTTAGCCCGATCTGCGCAGCATAATTAGTCGAAAATTGCGACCTCATTATATTTTGCATATCATATGAGAATTAGTTTTATACTTTTCGGAATATCCCTGAGAGAATAAGTAAAGAATATATGCGTAATGCATACATGGAGAATTTTTCATTTTTTCAAAGCAATTTTTATATCTCTCTATTCGCAATCCACCATTTTTGCGTAACAGCGAATAAAACGGGCAAATAAAAAAGATGAGTGTGCAGTAATACGTATATTGAACGCAGTAACGTACACGGAGAAAGAAGTGCATAATAATGCTGCATCGGTATAAGTAAGAAAAATATAAACTCGAGCTTGATCGGTTGCAATATCCACCGGTTTTGATAAATACATTACGAGTTAAAAGCAGCTAAATTGCCAACATCGTCGGGATATCAAAATAATCTTTGAATCAATTTCCTCCGAAATGAGAAATTAATTCTCCGAATAAACTCCCGAATGTGCCATTCGCAGAATCAGCATAAAGAAATGGATCACGATTCGCTTTATCGCGAACACGCGAAGCGGCGATCAATGGCACGATTGCTTTATATAAAGCTAATGCAAGACAAATCGCGGCACAATTTTACTTTTATCGTTGCCCCAAAAAAAAAAATAAGAAATTAAAACTACAGGAAACTCGCAATCAACGAGAAGAGGAGGCAAGCGGGACATAATTGAAGATGCAAAAGTTTATCCAGAGACAGGCGCAAACAAATGATACAGCGGCGGCTACCAGGGACAGTCCACGGGACAAACCGAATTAAACGGGCAAATCCTATAAAGCGCCGTCGCGCGAATTGTAGAACTCTCGTGAGCGAAGTGTCCCCGCTACAACAAAGGCGTACGCGCTAATTGGAATTAAACGCTAATTCGTTAAGTGAACAGGATGGGATTGGGAAGCTAACTTCCTAGCGCGCGCGCCGCCGCATCTTGTTTACCGTCCGCCGTTCTGCAAGTGAGCGGAAAAATGGAGTGAAATATAGAACAAACGGAAGTTTCGCCCGCCCGGGCTCTCCGAGTGGAAAAAGCATGCATTACTCGCAATTAAGTTCTTATTTATTTAACTCCACCTAGCAGCGCAACGCGCGCTAATCCTCAGTGTGTCGCGCGTTTCGAATTTGCCTTTCGTTCGCATTTCCCGTCAACTCGCTTTAAATATCGATTGGCTTGGTGCACCTTTTTCCGTTTTTTTTTTTCTTTTTTAGAAAGAGAAACGTATTTTCCAATTCATTTCACGGTACGCTAATTATCCGATCGACATCTCTGTGGAGTGTCGGTTATTAAAACAACCAAGTTCTTTGACTGATCGCCGGGTCAGACGCGTCTCTACCCGCGCGCTTTTATCGCAAAGCTTTATCAGAAGAACGCGGATCGCCCGTGTCGTATAATTCCCGACGATTATCATGCGCATGAACCCTTTCGCACCCTTGGTGGGATGAGCGCGTTCCATCCGCTCGCCCTAAGGCGCGATAAACTCGAGAGAGCTGCGGCGAGTCGCCCTTTATCACGTCCTGATTATCGTCGGTTTCGTGCCAGACTCTGCGTCGTGACGTGTGCAAGGGGGATGGAAATTAACGACGCAAACAATCCCTTTCCACCAACGGAGAGATGTCGTTTTGACTCCGCTTGCGGTTCATTAACGGCCTTTCTCCGGAATGGCACGTGCCACCCTTACACACGCGCGTATCAACACTCCCGGCAAGTACGATTCTCGGAAATCGAATGCCGCGCATTATCGCCGAAGCGATTTTGCTCGCGATAGCGCTCGAAGATGAGCCAGAAGTGATATAGATTGTAGATTCCATCAGAAAGTCGCATTATATTTGAGTTGATAATCTAAAATATGACGCACGTATTATGTTTGCATGGAATAAAATTACCTAGAGATATTCTTCAATCTCTTTGTCTTCTCGCTGAAGACCAGATAAATGCAAGTTATTCATTGAAATTACAGAACTCTTCGGATCTTCTTTTCGTTCTCATTTGAAAATTAATATTTGTAATCTCGATGCACTCCTAAATCTACATTAAGCGCATTTGTATTATTCAGTCGTTCATCTTCAACTTATTTTAAATACGCAGATCTCTATTTTCCCTCCAACAAGTTTTATAAAATAATTAATATAAAGAAAATTGCTTTTACTTTGAGCGAAGAAGAGATTGTCCAGTTAAAAGGATTGAGAACACGAGGTACCTTCTTGATGCGTCTCTCTTCCTTCATTTATCCGTCTCAGCGATTAACGAGCACATGTCCGACACGGGTCCAGAGCGGTCGAGTGAGCGCAGTCGATTATCGATGTATTGATATTTATCGCCGCGAATAATATATGAATAAAACGCCACTCGACTGTCATAATAAGCCGGTTCGAGGTGGCGGCGTGAAATTCGATCACCAACACATCATTCATCGGGTTATCCACGAATACCGTTCACAACGATATATGTAGAATCATTTTTCACTTTCCGCTTGCACTGAACCGTGATTGCTTTTTCTGACGACTCTCATTCACTTTGCCGACTGACCACTCGACTTTCCACCGTCATTCCAGATATTTGATGATTGCGTGCGAAGTTTTATTATTTGTCTCTGACGAATAACAATATTTTTTACTTATTTTCCCTTACTTCGCACATGTTTATTCATGTCGATAAACAGAAATCTGAGTCACTGATTAAAATATTATTGTAATATGTAATTAAAAATAAGTAAAAATAAAGTGTTTCAACGGTGGAAAATCATTTTCTATAAAACAAACAGTTAAATTCTGTTAGATTTGCCAAGAGCAAATCCAGCGATAAAATAATTTCACAATCTCTTCCGTTTGTTATTGATGCATTCACAGATCTGCGTCGTGTCGCATGTTTTTGATAGAACTCGGCAGTTTGCATTTTAGGCAATACGTCCCAACTTTCTCTCAGTCATAGAAGGGCACTCTTCCCGTAGAAAGCCGATTAGCGACGGACGTGATGAGTGGAAACCGAGAGCTGCGATGAAGATAGAGTTTCACGATACGCAACCGAGACGCGAATGTTACACAGATTGAAGCGGAGCCGGTAAGCACTCTCATTATCGTTGCACAACTCGATGCCGCGCATAATTTCATAACATCGCCGATCTCAAAGATCTCATCACCGCGCGCTAAATGAGTTTACTAGACTGAATTTCACTGTTGCTTTTGAGATTCTTTCACAGATATACCGCACGTCGCGAGAACGGATCCGGCGCGATGCCGGCTGGCACGCGCACCTTTTCCGCGGAAAATCATGCTCGCACGTCGCTGGCGCGAAAATTTCCCGTTTCCGTGGCTTTCTTTCTTTTTTTTACGACGGGAAAACAACAACGCCGGGAAGCTAGAAAAGAGCGGCTTAACAATCACGTCAGCGCGATATGCACGGTGAATCGCTTTGTAGCGACTATTTCCAGAGGCAGGCATCGTCGCTCGTAGGTGAGCGAAGGGTGGACGATGGGGTGGACGGACCGAAAGGAAGTATACGTGTGTGCACGGACACGGGGAGGGGAGAGCACGCGGAGGGGTGGATCGTCGTCGGTGTCGTGTAAGGGTGCAGTGCGCGCGGAGAGGGTGTTCGAGGGTAAGTGCATCGAAACGGAAAATGTGTTGGTCGCAGGACGCGTTTGCCGGACGCCGCACAACGCGTTGCTAAAGTACTCAACCTTCCACTCTCTCTCTCTCTCTGTCACTCCCTACCACTCTTCTTTCGTCTTTTTCCTTTCTTTTTTTCCTTCTTCTTCCTCTTTCCTCACCACACGCCACTGCGAGCGAATGAGTCGCCGGTTTGGCGACCGTCGGGACTCTCCGCAGTTCGGTTAACAACCGAATCGCGCTGTGAAGGATGAGCGGAGAGCAAGGGGAGAATTAATGAGATTGGAAACGCAATAGCTCGAGGCGGCCGGGCGGTGTCAGTGGCGGATATGCGAATAATTATCAATGGATAAATAAGCGCGACGCTGCTGCACTTTGCTGATTGCCGAAGATATTACAAAATATAGATTCCAATTTTTCGATGAATATATCCTTGAAATTAAGATGGATGATTTTGGGATTTTCCGTACGCGAAATAAATGTTTCAATTATTCCTGTTACGATAAAGATAGTAAATATGTTACTTTAAACGATTGATTTTAAGCCTTTCTGAAGTATGTGACAAAATATTTGACATGACGTGCGTTATCTCTTTATAATTCTTATTAGTCAAAAATATCTGAAACAGTGACAAGTTGATGCCTCGACGTTTTCATGAATTGCATAGTAATCCTACCTCGTTTACACAATGATTCGAGGGACAGAATGGAAGTAATATCGTGACAGAGGTTTTAAATCTGAAATTCAACTCTGTGAGATATTATAACGAGTGCATCACGTGAATTACGAAATGGAATGCGTATATCTGCTGTATTACGATGAATGTTTGCTCACTTAAAAAGTGCGTTCGCGAATATGAAACGCACTGATTTATTCAGTCGATAATCGAACGCGACTGAAACCACCGTACAATTTCATCAATATTGATTGAACGTAATTAATTGCAGTACATATTTACAATTTTCCTCTATTTCATGCAGGAATAAATATCCGGACGCATTTATTTATCTACTTGTGCAAGGATTATCGATATTGCGAACAATATTTCTTTATTCAAGAAAAACACGTTATGTTACGCATGAAAAAAATTTCAAACAAACTTATTTTGTAAAAATATGATGATTGCTATGTTAATTATGTCACATCAGTGCATTAATTGAGAAGGCTTGATTCTCATATTAATAGACCACGTGTTGCGCCTCAAATTAAATATTTTTCCCAACAACTCATTATAAATTGTGGACGGCAATGATAATTATGTGATTTAAAAAAATGTAAAAATGTCGTTGACAGGACATATGATGAAATATGATGAATTATATAAGACTCATACTTGAACGGGAGATTTAGTAATTTCGTGCACTGTCAATCGCAATTCACCGCGTTTATTTGGTTTTCGTACTAAATGCACACTCGGAGGAAACTGCGATCGGGACGAGGCAATACGCGTTTTCCGCGAATGTACGCACGACTGATGCGAGTCGGTGCATTCGCGTGCTTTTTCTTCCCTCCATCCGGCCTCACACATAACTGACTACATGCATACGCGACTCGAGTGGCTGCTCTCCAGCGTGTGCCGACCGATGAAATTAACTCTTATCGCCTTTATTGCCTATTGTTCGCTTTGCGCGACAAGCAAAGGCCGATTTCCTACCGCTGTCGAAGCACGGTCGCAATCACAATGGCCTTTACCGGTCCAATAGTCGTCCCTGACAACTTATTACCACTCGATAAGACATCACTTCATTCTTCTCTTGCGAATTAAAATTACGAATTAAATTAAGCTTCTTAATTTCTTTATCATTTACTGATTCGTGCATTCACAGCTAGACGTTACATCGTGCCCTTCAGAGATTTAATTCATTTTCATCGTCTCTATTAATTTTTATATCACTTGCAGTAACAGTTTCATTAATATTCTCGGCTAGCGCGAAGCCTAGTCAACATGATTGATAAACTTTTGCGGAATCTTTTCGTTAAAACGCAGAGACGGTGACGAATAATCACTGGAAACAGGTTAAGCGTGAACGTCGCGACAAACGCGGGAAAGATAATAAGAAAAAAGAAAGGCGGAACAACGTTATTTCTAGAATGAGAAAGAACGAATTTGCGAAGCTCCGCGGCTTTTAGCACAGCGCGGGCTTATCTCTTTGCGAAAATAGGTTGTTGTCTACGAAGTGAAATATCACTCACGTTTGACGTACAAAGATGACGTGGGAATCTTGCAATTTATATGAAACTATAAATCGCGAAGGGAATTTTGCGAGTTGATTGGTCGACATTAATGCGAGAATTCGCATGGAAAGTTCGCTCGAGAATGACATTTAGATATCAATAATGCAATCGCAAATTTATCATCGACCAAGTCCCAATCGGATCCGCATATTGATGCGCGCTCGACATTCCCACGACTCTGCGTCGGTAAGGAAATAAATATATTGCAGTAAAATCACTCGCTCTTCTTGCCGCTTATCTGCTCACGACTGCTTCGTTGTTCCGATCGCGATACACCTGGCGATCGATGAAAGATGCGCGGGGAATCCGACGTAGCGTATCCAGCGACGAAACGAGCTCTTTCTTATCAAGATGCTGTCATTATGCGCATCGTACGGCGGTACGCGGACTGCATCGCAAAATCGAAGGGCATCGACGGCGGTTATCTCAGATCGATGCGAAACCCCGGCGTTTAGCCACTGGAGAAATTCCGCGAGACAAATCGCGGCGGGCCCCGGGAGCCCTCGACGGAATCAAAATGAATGCGGCATGCGAGACACGCGTCTCGAAAATCTATAGAAATACAATTACGATTGTACGCTCACGGCTGAATTCTGTTATTGCGTGATGGATGAAACGAGACGGGTCGCGCTCATAAACGTAAGTGCCGTGATGTTACACCGCAATCCAGTGTAACACCGCAATTTGGAGCGACGCCATAACTTAATGAGCTGGCGCGCGTATAACAAGCTTGCCGACAATTAGGTGAACACGTGTCGCTGTTCCCCGACGAATGATTAATGCAATAATTGCCGGACGAAGAACGCGCGACCTCCATTCGGTCGAAAACGTTTGTTCTGAAAATAACAACGTCCGCGCAGCGACGGCGATGTAGCGAAGGAGATTTTCGATGTTTCGGTGCTTAAATAAATACGAATTTGACATATTTGCGTTGAAAGTTGGCGGTATTTGTGTTGTGCATAACGATGGAAAAAGTGCAAGGCGCAAAATTAAGATCTTTAATAATCGGCCAAGTGTACGGCTCTCTGTCGGAATCGTTATATTCTATAAGGATGTGCAAATTTTTATAAGGATGTTCTCGGATAATTCCCCGGAGAATTTGGGTCGAGCCTTCGCTTTTACAAAGATGCCCGGCTGTGCAATAAATCAAAATGCAAAGCCGCTGCTTTAAGACATATTCACACTCTCTCTCTCTCTCTCTATTTCTCAAACTTAATATCAACTAACAAGACTCGCAATGGAAACACCTTCTATATCACAATCGTTTACGGTTGACGAGAGCTATCGAATTCCGTTTGACATGTATATATGACTTAGTTATTATCGCGCTAGGTGAACAGTATAGACGGATTAGCACCCGTAGTTTGGAATATCAATCAGAAGTTTCCACAATACCTTCGTATTTCGAAATAATTTCAAAACGGTGATCAATCGTCGAATTAAACTTTCAGTAAAATTGAAAATTGTTTCTCTGCGTGCTAATCACACTGTCAAATATTTTATTAATTGATGAAGAGAAAAAATATGAAAAAGTATAAATGCAATCTTTCTTGTTTCATTCATTTCACAGACGAATTACAGTCTGGAAACCGTAAAGAAAAATTATACTTGTGCATCGTTTAAGTACTTTTTCAGATCAGAAATAATATATTATGTACATTTCAAATATTTTTTAATATTATTCAATTGTGCAAAGATAGTGTATGTAATATGTTATGAAATTTCGAACCGTCGAAAAGTGAAATAGCACGTCTTTTTGATATTCCATGCACGTGTAAGTCGATTTTCAAATTCAATTTCACGAACAAAATATTTATTTCATTTGTTTCGATTTTATACTACAATATGTCTTCTCCCGCTGCGCTTTGTGCGAAGCTGCGCGAGCACTCGTCTTCCAATAAATATATATCCTCTATATTTATCTCTTTGTACGAGCGCAAATAATCCTGTAGCATCCGAGGGAATGCGGATGACGTAGTTATTATATCCACTATGAAAACAGGAGCAAAACAAAATAAAACTCCAAACATCCCCACCCATTTATTCGATAAATAGTTTCGCGTGTCCTCAAAGTTTGTAATAACGTTACAAATATTGCGACGCTTCCTGTCCTTCGGCATTTCGGCCTCGCAGTGCGACGCCCAATATTTCGCCACTTTTTTTCCATCGTCAATGAAACCTCCGAACGCCTTCCGAACGCATTCGCAAATAAATCCACATCTGGGTCGTTCCTTCCAGAAAAAATACGCGGCCATCAAATCATGGCCGGTGGCCAAAACGCGATGACTGCTACTGGTTATAAATTTCGAGCTAAAGGGTCAGCTTCCACGATTATTCACCCTGATTTCATTTCGCCCTCATATCGATCGCGATCTCCGCGGGATGAAATGTTGCACGAGAGACGAAAACGGTCTAGAAAAATGGTCGCCCTCCGGCCTGAAAATGCCTTTTCCGAAGGTGATGAACGGCGATGTATACGGCAAGGTCGGCGACCGTGTCAGCACCCTCACCCTTGGAAATGTAACGCTTGGCAGGAACAGTAAGGTCGAAGCCCTTTCATCTCGAAGAAAGAACCAGGAAGTGCGGTCTCTGTAGCGC